GGTGCGATGCTTATCGTATCATCTAATGCGACAAACAAACGAGATTAGGATCGTTCAACGAAAGACGACAAGACCTTTTCGATTAGATGCTCACTGTGCTTCTGCTGCCGTTCGGTAGCTGTATCTCGCTCACATGGAACGCTAAAATATTAATCGATAGAACAGAACCTTTGGAACAGCATTCCGTGGGAGTTGGTTATGCCGCATGGTTGCATATACCACGAACGTACACCACTGATTATGGCATAATCAATTTGAATTTTGCATCTCAATGTGGTAAGCGACGATGCCGAAAATAAGCGTTGTTCAAATTAAAATCCAATGACATTTTCCTACTAACTGGAAGAAAGGTATTCAAGTAGAGTCAGCAATGAGATTAATGGATTATCATCCTTTTTTTTCTTCTCTCGCTTGTGCTTTGGAAATTTGACTTACATGTAATCAAGTCTTATTTGCCAAAATAAGAAAGTTTCCGCTTTAAAACTTCATAGTCTTGCGACGCAATTCGTTTACACGTGAACAAACGACGGTTTGATTTCAGGGAACTATTTAATTAAAGTGAAATTGAATTAAGGAATGTTTTTTGCTCTCTTACATTTCTGGATATTTTGATGGAATTTTCGGAACATTGTGCCGAATTAGGTTGGGGAAGCAATTTTAGCAGCTTAATCTCATTGCGCTAAAGTAAATCGAACGATGAATAATTCCATCTTCCGTGAAAAACGGCTTTCGTTCAGGTGCAAATAATGGATAAAAGCGTTGAAAGCGGTGGCTTTCAACTCCTACAATCCAATTTCTCTGTTTATCCACGGAGAAATATTTTATCAGCAATGACAGCAGCACAAGACTACCGAAAATAACCTTCAAAAAACAAGCGAATACTTTTTGACATCATTTTTGTGTAATGATATTATTCTTAGGCTAATCAAACACGTTCATTCAACGATGACAGCATTCGTGAGAATTTCATGCATCCACGTGATGTGGAAGTGAGACATTATTGTTCAGCTGTAGGCATTGTTTTATTATTGTGCTCGGAATGACACACAATCTTTCGCCGGTTTGATATGTGTGCCCCTCAAACACACTCAGTGTTCCGTATGCGAAATTGCCTTAAGTGACATGTGATAACGAAAATTCATTGTCGTCAATCCTCACCTAAAATCATCATTCACCACATAAACAGATGAGTGTGGTTCCGTTTTCGACAGCCATCGAAACGTTCGTTTATTTTATTTTTTTCATAGCGTCTGTATCTTCATTAATTCTACCACACTTACGCATACAAACGCACACATACACGCACCAAGACCAATTAGTAACATGTGTCTGAAGGGCAAAAATTGATATTGATGTTTACTGAGTAAATTATCTTCAACTTATCGCAATTCCATTAGATTCTCATTTTTACTCACTTGTTCGCCGCAACCAACCCCTGACATTTGGAATGGATACAAAAGTTGTGCATATCAAATGATGGCACTTACTTTATTTCCATTATATAAAAAAAAGGATACAAGACGTTCTTCAAGAACAGCTGGCTTGAATTTTGCATCATTCTTGTGTGACATTCCATTAGTAATAAGCCTCTTTTCTCATCTTCAAGCCTGTATTTTTGATTTTGTTGTTTGTTTTACATACAATATCATCGTAGTGCATACGTTTGTCTTTCCGGATTCCATTTAGTATTTTCTTATCGTTGAATGTTGACGAGCGAGTAAAATAGAAGCGAATAGAAGCGAAAAATGAGGTCAGAAAAGCATTCAATCAAAACACATCATGCATAAAAAAGTTTTCTGGGATGTTAATCACGCGAATGTGTGAATTCATCAGTTTGCTGCTCTCTGTCTCTGTTTACTAGAAAAAACATTCTACAGAAATTTCTACCGCAAGAAAAATGACGACAACTGTATGCGTGTGCGCGAAGTGCGCGTTTGTCAGCAAGCACGATGAGCTGATATTTGCTATTTGAATAATTGAAAGGGCTTCCGTACAATGTAATTTCTATAACAAATGTGTGTGTCGTGTCTCGTTTACGTGAATAAAGCCATTCGTTTTTGTGTCGCAAAATTGCGTCAATTCATTTCAGTTCTCCATATCTCTTTATATTTGTTGAGCATAAACATAACCGACTGTGAGAGTCTCATATTTCAGAACATTTTATCACTAAAATCGTCACATAACATTGGAATTCCGCCACATCACAGCGACTCGGCTCCGAAAGCACTCAGTTACATCATCCATTGTCTTTGTGATTTTCTCCGCTTCTGTTATTCATTCAGTATGGCATTCCTTTCATGTTTTACGCTTTGCATTATAGACGACACAAACGACGAATACTAAATTCATTCGCTTTCAAGCTTTATCGATTTAGAAATGTAATCCCTATAGCGCTTCCATACCTAGATAATGTATAATATAATATAACTGAATTATTAATTAGTCATTAAACGGCATACTCTGGACTACAGTGATGTGATTGTAATTGACGTTGATGTTGAGTGAATCAGAATGATTTAAGTCAAGTTCATGCATCCAATTAAAATACTTTTCGGTCATTTAAATCATGGCTATGACTTGAAATATGATTGAACCAACGAACCAGGGTTATATTTGCCTTTGATCAAAGCAATTTTTTCTTGAAAAATTAATTGCATTCTCTCGGAGATGCTTTTTTGGTATTTATAAAGCAATCACTGTGATCGAATAACGTTTGCGAATAGATTTTATGCACATAGATCTTTGTATTTTATCTATGGTCAAGTAAATCGATGAGTTCAATTTCAGCAAATCCTTTTAAAACGTACATCAAAGAACACTTCACTCACATTCAAATCTGACCCGTCTCGTACTTAAACTTCATATTCCTACTTCAATTGCACATATACTCTTCGGTTTTTTTCTTCATCCACGAGAAAGTTGAGTGCATTTTTCTATTTTGCATAGAAAAGAACCATTCAGATCCTCTTTGAGCTATTTAATCTGGAATGCTTGTATGAGGAGAGCTAATCAAACAGCAAGTTGGAAAAACTACATTTAAAGTATTAGAGGAAGCTTTTTAACTACTTGAAATGATGGAAACAATGAATTCCTACTATTGTCGTTGCTTTGAAGCACGAGATATTGAAAATATGTTCAAACAGTAAAGTACCCGAGTAAATCGGGGAAACGGTTCGTAATTCATCTAGACCTTTGCGTATACCTTCCGTATATTTGCATAGGAGTGGGCGAATGTTTCTTTTACATTTAGTATTTCGCGAAAGAAAGAATGAAGAAGAAACAACAACAATGTTCGGTTGTTCCTATACATGTTCTCTTTCTGTACTGTTCTAACATACACATATGCGCATTCACATCGACGCAAAATGTTTATGAACCTGCTACACAGCGAGTAATACCTATACATAGACGCTGTTATAGTAAGTTCATAAGCACCTCGCGTCGATGTGGATGCGCAGATGTGTATGTTAGAACAGTACAGAAAGAGAACATGTATAGGAACGAACGAATATTGTTGTTGTTTCTTCTTCATTCTCTCTTTCGTGAATTACTAAATGTAAAGGAAACATTCGCTCGCTCCTATGCAAATATACGTAAGGTATACGCAAAGGTCTAGATGCCCTACGAACCGTTTCCCCGATTTACTCGGGTATCTTCAATTTAAATGCCACTTGATCGATATATTTTTTTTTTTTTTGAAAATATCTGGTAAGCGCTGGAAACACATCAACGCTCAAGTGAATACTATCCATCTGCTGGATGTGAATATCACGATTGTCCAAGTGCATGAAACTCTATATCTAATTTTCATTGGAAACAGTATTGTTTCACCGTATTTCAGTTCAACAAAAAGAACCATAATTGTATTATTTACACTGCGTGAAAAAGTTTTGACAACATTTCGAAGCTTTTTTTTCGTTCTGTAAGAAAGAAATAACACCCGTTACTACGCACATAATATTGTCAGAAATTCGATATTCATAATATTGTAGAAAAGAAATATTTGCCCCTAGTTGCAAAGCAAATCAAAAACACTGTCGAAGTTTTCGTATATCGAGTAAACTTTGCCGAAACCGTTGTTTTCTAGAGCTTGGTATACGAGAAATAAATAATAAATGAAAGTTTATCAAAAACTTGGAAAGTTCAACAGCACAAAACTTCGACGCATTCTGTGTGTGTGTGTGTTGGCATTGGGCGGTCAATCGAAGTTTTGTATTTCATCAGTTTTGGTATTCAATCAATCTTATCTACGATGACAGCTTGAATAGAGAATAAGTAATAACAATTCATTTTTCACGTTATTGTCTCTCCTCTCCATCACAATTCTCTTCCAAAATTCGCTCATCTGAAGTGCTACAGCGTCATCGAAATAGGAAATGAGAGGGAAAAAGGAGAAAAAGAATGAAATTTCAAACGGCCAACGGAATTCAAACAAAAGTACAATTATATCATCTGCGATTCCTTTGAATTGATGACGATTTAAAAAAAAAAGAGCGAATGAAAAACCGGCGCTCTCGAAACTTTTCAAATATATATAAAAAGAAGCGAAACCTTCCGTAAACATTTGAACAATGCGAACAAAAGGCAAACAACTCGGCTAACTTTCTACATTAAAGGAAATGAGCAGCAAAAAATACAAAAGAGAAAAACAATTTCCCCGCACTTGAGACAAATGGCAAAGGGAGAGCTAACGTTAAACGCCCAATGTCGTACATACAATACATTGCTGTTTGGTTGAACGTTTCATTAATTACCGTAAAAATACGGAACAAAAGACTACAAAACATCGATGTTTCCAATCAAACGGAATAAAATATTTGCAATTTGCTGGAAAATATATGTGTGTGTGTGTGTTGGTGAACAATGAACATTGTGTTATTTTAAGTCTTGAAATTCCTTTTTTCTATTCGACATTTTGCTGTTTTATTTAACTCCATCTGCCATTGATCCAAAGATTAAAATCGCAATCGTTTTTTTTCTCTCTTCCATTTTGTTCACAGGTTATGGAGGGATATCTATAAGAACGCATACCCGGATTGCTGCACTGTTGTACGCGCTGTTCGGGATACCACTTGTTTTGCTCTACTTATCGGTCATGGGAGATGGGTTATCAACGATAATGCGTTGTCTGTTCCGTCGGTTGCTCATTGGTGGAACGAGACGCAGTCGAAGCGAAAGCACGAGCAGCCAAAGTAGCGGAAATAATTCGAATAGCAGCAGCAGCACTGGTATTGGCACTATCAATGGTCGAACCGACAACGGTTCAATCGTCGATAAGAGTTTTCATAATGCATCACTGGTTGCATCCAACTCAAAAGGCGGCAAGCTAACGAAAGCAAATCAAAACTATGATAACAATTACAGTAATCAAATGTACAACTATTCGTACGATCAGCACTCGAATGGAGTGCTATGGATGTCAATCATGATATTGATATCAATCATGATATTAGTCTGTTACATTACCTTGGGCGCTGCCTTATTTCATCGGATCCAAACGTGGAATGTGTTGGAGAGCTTGTACTTTTGCTTCACGTCACTCGGCACAATTGGCTTTGGTGAGCTGGAGCCAAAAGGGAATGTTGCACAGTATGTGGCCAGTGCGTACATTTTAATTGGAATGGCCGTTGTTGCGATGTGCTTTAATCTCATCCGAACGGAAATTAACATGTGGTTGCGACGATATGATGGTGGTGGTGATGGTGGTGGTGAAAAGTCATATGCATCAACGATCAGCGGACCGGGCAACGGGCGAAATGTTAGCGCCGGCATTTCACAAAATACTTTTGCACATTTGATGCCACCGCATCATAATCATTTGATGCATCAGCTGCAACCGAGCACTGGACCAATCGAAGATGTTGCCCTTGTTACGGTGGCGGTCACACCAAAATCCTGACTAAGACCATCGGATCACTTGGTAGGCCAAGCGGGTATGGCGAACACATCGACATTCAACTCGCTACCAAGACGATCCAATCTGACATTCCAAAGAAATACGCCGGCACGACGATCGGCTGGGCCATTAGAGAGTCACATCGAGTATTTTGTGCCGCGCAGCGTAAGCGAATTTAATTTGGCGGGCGTTGGTGATATCGCATTGCCAATGCAAATGCCACAACAACAAAGACGTTCGCCTCCGCCGTCGATTCTCTCGCACACCCGATCAACGGGCACAATTATGATTCCCATACAAGAGATGCAACATCAGCATCATCAACAGCAACATCAGCAACAACAACAGCAACAAATGCACGCAATGAGCTCAGCCCAATCCGCGTTGCCACCAATAAAACCTCGCGAAAAAATGGTTACATTTGAAGATGAAACAAAGTGCCCGCACGGCGTACCAACCACACCACGTAAAACCATGCCAATGACTGGCGTTAATGATGTATTTATGTGACGTGAGGGTGGGTGAAACGAACCGAACACGAAACAACAATACCCGGGCGAAGTGATCAAAGTATAGAGTGTACACATTGTACATGTGTGTGTCATAACAACCAATATGCACATTGTCTATCACTCCTATGATTCACACCAAAAATTCATAGCGCATCGGGTTTTTGTTGCTTTCGTCAATTTTCATTTCGGTTAGATTTCATCCCAGTCCCAGTCTGAAAATTTCACCACCATCATCATTACCACCGCCACCCCTCCACACAATAATCACACCAACTAAAAGTGGCTATTTTGTAGTATTTACTCTCGATATCGAATTTACCGAGAACTGAGCCACGCAAACGAATAACACAACACATAAGAATGCACACAAATGCTTTGTGTGATGCGTTGAAATGTGGTTTTAATTAATGTGGCAAACGCGAGAGGAGAGATGGAGACAGAGATGCAAAAACATTGAAATTATTCATGTGCTCATCATATCGTGATGAAATTATTATCAAAATTGCATAGAACGCATTCAGGTCGACGTATCGTGCATATGCATCTTTGTGCATGACATGCGATGAGAATGCGTTTTAAAGAATATAGATAGAACATATATTTATCGGTTAAGATGCGGACGTTTTGTTTGCAAATGCTGATTGGATCACATGATGTGTGTGTGTGCGTAATGTTTACGGTTGTTGAAAATGTTTTGCGCGGTTTTGGGTCGACGATGGGCCTAGATTACCACCACACATACAATCATACATACAATTATTTACACCCATTTTGGATTCAATCTCAAATGCAATACCACAAACACACACACACACACACACACGCACGCATGCATACATAAATGTATTCGAAGAGGAGTGAAAAACCGTTAATTAATACAGCGTCAGCATTTATAGTTTCATTAAATCTGGAGTCTCATGGGAAATCAAATATGCGACACGTAGGGACGGAACGGCCGGAGCGAGATGGCAAGGGAGTGCAATGGAGGAACTGTGGTAAAATTTTGTCATCGAACAACGTTATCATCTTACCAGAGACCAGAAGCTTAGCGACCAGACACTTGAAAGCAACCGCAGCTCGGCATATCAAAAACCATTTTGCATATAGATCTCATTACACAAACCGACACACGGTGCATTTGATCGCATGAATTTTGTACAATAATTTGAGTACACATTGCATTCAATTGTGCAATTCAGTGGCTGTGCCAATTTCTCTCTCGCTTCGTCTCTTCTTCTGTACTCTTGGTCGTGTCGCAATAATCGCCCATGTACGATGATGCAAGCGGCCTCCTCAGAAATAGTGTAAATATTTGCTTTTCGAAACAAATACATGCATGTGAGCATACGGAGTAGCATCAAAAGTTCGTATATATAGAAAATATTTATACATGCATACATTCATTCGTTTGCATTACGAACCCAACGACACATAAGTCAAAGTGTGTGAACTACCGAACTATACAAGTACATACACACACACGCTGAAAGGAACAAAGACAGAGATATATCCGTATTGAAATGTATTATGTCAATTTTCCAGGTCACTGATTCGGCATAAATTAATATATTTGTTGTGGTGCACCAGCACGGCGGCGTTCAACACATAATATCGCTTAACGTCTTACAATTTCTCGTTCTACATAAGCTGTAATGTGTGTATAGCATGGATAATAGAAATGAAAATACACTCAGATTATCTTTAGTCATAAATCACACATGGTAAAAGTCTGATTGTGGTTTACTGTATCGGGTAAATATCAGGTAGCATAATCATGAAAATTGCATTAAATGGATCGAATCATCGATTATTTCTTGGAGAGCATTTTTTTTCTCTCTCTAGGATACCAGAAGCTGAAATGTTAAATATTTGATCGAATTATTATTGGTTTATTAACTAAAAGCACTTCACACATTTGCGATAAATGTCAAATCAATTAGATGACATCACTTCATAAAAAACCTCTCATCCACACTAAATCGCAGTTCATTTTTTCTCCATCTTCCTCTTTCCCAACGCCAACCGATCCATTTATGCTCTGAACCAACCATCCATGGTGCAACAGCATGGAACATCTACGGACATCGAGTGTAAATAATTTCAAAGCAAACACGTCACATGCAACATTTAATATAATGCCAAAATAAGGGTGAGCCGCGATTTTTGCATAATAATATACGAACGGGTTCGCGCATATATTTGCTTTTTTCGATGGGGGCAAAATACACAGAAATCGATTAAATTTGACACACATACACACAAGCCAAATAAATGTTAAAAGTAAACGTACATGTCATTTGTGTATGGATGCAACGTCTCATTGCGACGAAATGTTTTCATCAGAAATTCTTACCAATACCATTAGTTAGTTAGCTGTAAATTAAGAGGCATGCAGGTCATTTTTATGTAAAACTTATTGGCATGATATGCAAACGCTAAACGAAATTTTCAATAGAAAGAGCTATATAAATTCCATTAGTTTGTAATTCCAAAGTATTTAAAACAAAAACATTAGCGAATTTCGATTCAAATGTCCCAAGACTTTTTCAAATCAAATCAAATTATTGTAAACAAAGAATAAATTGGGAAATGTGTCAACAAATAGCAACGCATGTATGTTGATGAGATTAATCATTCAATGATTTAATAATTTTTCTTTGCTTTTCTTTCTTCCATAAATGAGGAAAAAACATATGCCATTTAGATAGATATGATTGCATTTTTGGAGGGACATTGAATGTATGTAAAATCAACAAAATTACGGAAGCTTTTTAGACATGAAAATGTGATTTGGAATCGAATTTTTTCGAAAGAAAACGAATAACGAATCGAAAGACGAATCAGAGAAAAGAAACGATCATGGAAAATTCATGCAAGTTCAAGTATGAACTTCGAAGGCATGTGCTATCAATTTAAATATGTCAAATGCAACTCACAATAAACCACAGCATCGACTGAGTACGAACGCACGTTGAAACAAGGGAGAAAAAATGCCATCTCAAGCTTTGGTTTTTCTTTGATTTTTGTTTTAGCTTTGTCTTTCGATTTGATGGCATGTCTTTTAAATGTGGAATGCCACCGGAACAATTCACTAGCTATAGATCAAATATCAGTATTGTGCGCTGCCATCGAAAGGAAAAGTTATTTTAATCAAGCTATTCAGTAAAAAAAAAGAACATTTCTATAAAAGTCAATATTGGTTTAAACAAAAGAACAACAACAACATATATCGACGTCAATGATAAATAAAAATATATTACAAATCATTCTAGGCACTATAAGATAAACAGAGGATACTGTAATTAAGTGTAATTTACGATGTAAGAGGAAATAACATTTTCAACATTAGGCCAAAACAAAGATTTTAAATATTTTAAATTAATAAAACGATGTCAAATAATAAATAACTGTTATTAATTTAATGATATAAAAAAAATAATCGGATTTTGTTTTTGTTTTTAAACTTTGACATTTCAGCATTTGCAGAGAGTCTATCTTCATTTCCAGAGGTGAACCGAAATTCAACGTATTCTAACTTAGATAGAATAAAGCAAACAATGAAATATAGATATGTAATATCCACTGGATAGTTGGAATA